ATGATTTTGAAACTTGAATATAGCCATTCTTGAAAAATGAGATCCCTAAACTTGCTTTGAATGCCCTTGAAAGAAACCTTCATGATTTAGGATCTAAAATAAGCTTGAAGAAAGATGCTTGATCACGACCAAAGTCTCGAATTAATCTTGCAAATATAAACAAACATGAACCAATCTCAAATTTTTCTTGAATTATAATAGAGTCATCTTGAAATCTTTTTAAACTAATGCAATTTGCGTAGCAGATGAGCCAAAGTATTCACTATGACACTTCTTGAATATGCCATGTAATTAGATCCTTGAAATGGACAGCAAACCTGACTTCACCAGATAACAAGAATTGGCACAGAAGCCTTGACTAAAACTTCAGACACACATTACATAAACTGCATTCCCTGACCTTAATTATGAAATCAAACTTTCCTGACCAAGATTAGGTCACAACTAGATGAACTTCAACACCACTGCACGCATTCCTGACTTAATATCCTCAAATGAATCTTTGACTTAGACAACAAGAAAGATGAAAGCAATTTCAACATATTTTAGGATTTTTTTGAATAACTGTCAGTGGTTAGATGTACAGATGAAGATGTTATGCAAGTAAGACAAATTTGAGGTATGCCAGCAGTCAATCCAAAAACCATAGGACTTACACAATTCAGCATCACTATGCTCCACCTCAACAGGAATCTCTTTCAATTTTAGCTTATCTACAAATATCTTTGTACTTTGACCAACGTCATCACTTTTCTTGAAATCCATTTCAGCTTCACTAAAAACTATATCTCAACTTGTGATACAACTCTTGTGACATGGCTCTAGGAACCATGGTCTATAAGCCATACGTTCGACTTTGTATTACATAATATGAGCATGGGCTACACAACCAAATACTCTAAGTCTGTCGAGATTTGGTGGATGTCTCAACCAAACTTCTTTAGGGGTTTTCATCCCCAAGGCACTTGAGGGACACCTATTTATCAAATATGTTACAGTCACTGTAGCCTCGGCCCATAACACCTTTTTCAATCTTAAACTAACCAACATGCATCTAATTCTTTTTAGGATAGTATGATTAAATCTTTCATGCTGACCATTTTGCCGAGGAGTACCTGCTATAGTCTTATGCCTAGTAATACTAGACATAACACCATAATTGTCGAAAGCTTCATTGTAGAACTCAAGGGTATTATTGGTCTTCAACCTCTTGACCTTCCTGCCAGTCTGATTTTCGACCAGAGTCTTCCAACTTTTGAAATTTTCATAAATTTCATCCTTAGTTTTCCGAGTGAATACCCACAACTTTCGTGAGTAATCATCAACTACGGATAGAAAGTATATTACATATGAGTGCGAAAGATTTCTTGCAGGCCCACAAAGACCATCATGAATATAATCAAGGGATCCATATATCTTTTTTTTCCTTTTTGAACTTCACTCTACAGGTTTTACCAAACACACAAGGATTAGACAACTCAAACATTTTGACCTTGTCACCACCTAGAAGATTTTGTTTCCTCAGTTTGACCAGTCCCATTACACTAACATGGCCAAGTCTCATGTGCCATAACTCAGCCTTTGACACAGGTTTTGTGGATGCCACATCTATTGAACCACTTACAACCTAGCCCTCAAGAGTATGCAGGCTTTGCCTTTGCATGTCTCTTAAGAATTCCTTCGACACTTTCATTACCCTTAGGATACCTTGCTTTCATTTGGAAGCATATCCTTTCTTGTCGAATTCACCAAGAGAAATCAAATTTCTCTTAAGTTCAGATACATACATGACAACAATCAATAACTTTATTAACTCATCATGGAACTTGAATCTCATAGATCTAATTCTTGCAATTTTGCATGCTTTGTTGTTTCCCACCAACATTTATCCACTATATTGGTCACATAATTCCTCAAACAAATATTTATTTGGAGTCATGTGCCAAGTGCAACCGGAATCTATGATCTATTCCTTGCTAGAATTGTTGCTCGAAACTACCAAGACATCAGATGATTCATAATTATCTTGCACAATGGTTATATCACCATTATCCTTACCACCATGATTATTCAATCGATTAGGGCAAACCTTTCTTATGTGACCCTTCTTCTTACATTGATAACATCTAATTGCAAAAGCATCACTACCATAAGACTTCTACTGACCTTTACCTTTCTTCTTCTCAAACCTACCATCATCCTTTGTGAATTTTCCTTTTACAGACAATCCTTCACCAACAAAAGATGGTTTATGCTCATTTCTTTCATTCAGGTCCTTCAAGTACAAGGTTGATTGGACTTCTCTAAAGTTCGGGGATTGTTTTTCATACAAGAGAGTTTCTTTGAAGTGAGCATGGAATGTTGGTAAAGCACACAACAACAACAACAACGCTTGATCTTCATCATCAATCTTAACCTCGATATTCTCAAGGTCAAGAATAAACTTATTGAGCATATCTAACTACTCAGCCAAGACTTTGTTTTCACTCATCTTGAATTAATACAAAGCTTGTTTCATGTACATACGATTTACCAGGGATTTAGTCATATACAAACCCTCGAGTTAGCTCCACACACCTGTTGTCGTCTTCTCCTTCGAGACCTGTCGGAGAACCTTATCACTAAGGCTCAATATGATGGCACTGTGGGCTTTCTCGATCATCAACATCTTTTTCTTCTCTCTCTGTTAGAGAAACATACATCTTCTCTGATCCTTTCAACGCTTCTAATAATCATGTTAAACCAATAGGAGCTGCACCTTCAAGCGTTACAGACCGAAATCATTCACAACAGTAAATTTCTCAATCTCATACTTTGTTGATGACATCTTCTCCTCCACGCTCACCGCACCAATTTTTTGTGAAATAGATGCCTAGAAAACATAGTATGATCGATTTTTTGATCAACAAAAAAACTACAAGGTGAGAAAAGATAGAAGGATAAAAGAAAGATAACTCAAAGTGGTATGAAACCCTGAATTATTGTTTCCATCACACAATACAAAATAATGTTTGCAATTGAATCTCAACCACGTCACTTTCTCCCCCTATAAGGATTATTAAGAAGTGAGGACTAGTATGCTATTTATAAGAAAACTAAAATCATAACTTTCCATTAACATACTAAACAAATGGATTAATAAATTAGTCCAGTTAGACATGCTAACAACCTAACATATTTCACTAATTACACTAACTCTTCGACTTCAACAAAGTTTGTTACAACACTAACTTATAACTCATAAACTACCTTATATAAATATTTCTTTCCTATGTCAAATTGATTCTCCCCTTAATTGAAAAGTACGGAATATACATATAGTGTTTCTTAATCTTGCATCTAAACAAATTTAAATTAATTTATCTAATTAAACCATAAAATTTTGCTCATTTGAAAGTAATAAAATGTTATTTGATGATATTATTTTATTATCTTTTTAATTCAATTCAATGTTATTTTTTTCTATTGTTTAAATGTCATGACTACTTTTAATTGTATATGGAAAACTTAGCTATACGGTCATTTAATGTCCTTTCAAACACATAAGTCGAGAAAATAGAGGTCGCACCATTTTCTCATCTTGCAAATTTAATTTAAACAAAGCAAATCAAAGCAAATCAAAATATTTCTGTTCAATAAAATTTAATTTTCTCAAGGCAAATAAAAAATATTGAGTAATGTTAACTTGTACCATTGGGACACATGTTAAGAAAACCACTTATAATAAATTTGCATTGGAAAAAACGATTTAAAAATTAATTTTATACTTTAATTAAAGTTTATACACAATTTCCAAAACAATGTTTCTTAATTTAGTTTTTAAGATGTGCCCCAAAGGCACAAGTTAACATTACCCAAAAATATTTACTCAATCAAATGTCATTATTATTTTCTAATCTTTTATATTTTAATTCAATAATGTTTTATTGTTTAATGTCATTCTGTATGCATTTATTATTGGAAATTGAAGTAATACCCATTTTAGTTTGTGTTAATGCTTTGTCATTTATCGAAATAAGCATAACATGGGTTTGGATGAAATGAGGAGAGATATTAAAATACTAAACCATATTGAAAATATTATTATTTTTAAATTCTAATAATTGTCAAAATAATATTATTTTTATGAGAGTATGAAAAAAATTCATAAAAAATAAATACAAATTACTGTAGTAAAAACAAATAAACAAACAAGAGTGCTAATTTAAACGCTAGTTTAAAATAAAATAAACATCAAAAGTGGTATTACCTATGTAATTTAAAATAAAACGAAAAAATTGAAGAAGAAAAAAATTTAAAATTTGCATCAAATAAAAAGTTGATTATAGTAGCTTCTTTTTGGAAATAATTTTGATGTAAAAATATTAAAATAACATTTTCATTACAGTAGATAAATGCAAAACTACTTATTATTATATTAAATATTTCTTTAAAAAATCCAAATTATTAATCATCTAAATCATTTTTCATATATAATTTTCTACAAACAACCTCAAAATAACGTTTAATATTTTTTTAAATAACCTCTAAAAATTAATTTATAAATAACTAAATTTCAGTTTTTATAATATATAATAAACGAGTTGTTTATTTTAAATTATTATTTTTATAATCTTTCTAGGCTAGAAATGAAAATTTTCAACAAGTAATTTTTTAAATATATTTTTTTTAAAAAAGAAATATAATAACAAACCTAAATTGTGATCAAAATAGTTTTTCTTATGAGAATTTTCCAAAAAAAAAAAGTTTAAAATATTATAATATTAAAAAATTCTCTCTCAAAATTTCTCCAATCCCTTAACATTTAAGTGTATCAATATTCAATAACAATAAATTATTGCTAACCTTAAATTTCGATGGTTAGTGATTACTATTAATTAGCTAACTTCCTCCTAATTTTACTCCAAAACACTCATTCACCGATTTAATCTCTCTTTATAATTATTTTCACTCTTCTCTGATTTCATTCTCAAGAGAGAGAAACCCAAAAACAAAACACCATGGCTTCTCAAACCTTGCATGAAACAAAGAAATCCCAAGCCAAGAAAGCCTTACGTTCCCTAGGAATAGGAATAGCAATTCCATTCGCCATAACCTTAACAATAATCATCCTCTTTGGATCAAGTAGCAAGTACAATGTTATAGCCAAACCCTTTTGGTTTGCACCACTCTGGTACATTCACTTAGCAACCTTGGGTTCATCTTTCTGCATGGGACTGGCAGCTTGGTTGGTTTGGGCTGATGGTGGATTTCAAGGTGAGTCAGATGCCTTGTGCTTCTATGTATCTCATGTCTCTCTAAGCATTGTTTGGTACCCACTTGTTCTTGTTATGAGTTCTTATTGGCTTGCAACGGCTTCGGGCGTGGTTAATTGTGTCACTCTTTTGATTTGTTATTTGAGGTTTAGAAAAGTTAATCCTTTCGCTAAAGATTTGGCTAAACCGTGTTTGGCTTGGACGCTTTATCTTACTCTTGTTAGTTTTAAGTTAATGCTTCTTTGATTACTTCATAATGGAAATGTATAACACTTTTAGCAATTTTAATTTTTTTGCACTTTAATTCGCACAATATATGTTTTCTCTCTTTATTTTTCACACCGATTGGCCATGGCCACAGCAGTGAACATAGATTAAAAAAAAGCGTTTGAGTTACTACAGCTTCGAAGCCAGCGTCAGCATCTACGATTAAACTGCTACGAAATCGGAGACTTTCATTCAAATAGAAATAATAAGTCATTAATGGAACATACTTATCAAAATAAAGAGCACCCACAAAATTCTTTTAATATTAAAAAATGAAATATTTAAAATAATATTTGAAAAAAAATTCTTTAAATAAATTTTATAAAAATGCTATTCAATTATATTTTATAAATTCAAAAGATTAATTTTAATATTCTATAACATAAATATACATTATTAAAAATAGAAAATGGATGATCCAATAATAGTATAATTTAATTTTACATTGTTAAACAATGACAACTATGTATTAATAATATGACGATTTTCTATTGTTCCGTGCATATACATTAAACCACGTTAAATATCAAAATAACAATTTTTTCAAAAAAATATATCTAAAAGATAATTTTAATTGAAAAATTATTTAAAGCAAGTTTTTTATTTTTATAGGCAAACAATAATCATTAGATAAGAGTATTATGGGTACTTCATGAAAAAAAATTATTAACAACTCCTACAAGAAATCACATGGATAATTAAACCATTCGTAACAAATGCACCTAATTCTACCTTTAGGTGACAAACCTAGCCACCACCACAAACAGGATAAAACTCTTTGGAATATCACCTCTGAGTCTCCCACCTCATCATGAAATATTATTCGGTTTCGTAGAAAACCAAACCAAACATGCTAATGGAATCGAGCATCTACTTCTGAGTTGAACAAACCAAGATAGTAAAAATTCACAACATTCCTCCTCAATGTCCCATGAAACTCCCAACCACCCTAAGACTTTGTTCCACACCATTCTAGTTTTAGGACACCCGCAAAAGATATGATTAATGTCTTCCATCCCAAAACAAAAAACACAAACAAGTTCGTGGGGATTATGAATTATACCAAGTTTTTTTCTTGTTGGAAGCCTATCCAACAACACCTTCCATTCAAAAACATGTACTTTCAGAGGCAACTTCGTCTTCCATACTAAATCAATCGCAACTTGAAGATTGCTACTTATCGTGGGACGCTCCAAGAGACCATTCAATATGTCATAGTAAGAAGTTACTGAAAACAACTTGGAAATACTCCAGGGCCAGCAAAAATAGTCCTCCTTCCCTGCAATTAAATTAACTTCATTCAGCCATTCAAACAATTCCTCGACACCCTACAAATTATCAGGTGCAGAACCACATTCCAAGGCATTGAGATTCCACGATCATACATTACGAACCCACTCTCCCACTTCACAAACCCTAATGTTTTTGTTTGCAGAAGCTTGGAACAATTGTGGTAACACCTCCATGAGCTCGATCGGACCAAGCCACTTGCTGGACCAAAATTTAATAGATTTCCCGTCACCCACCTTACAGGAGATAGAATCATTAAAGGATCCTTTGCCAAAATCATCACCGAGGATCATGAGGTCACGCCACCATAGCGATTTAGAATCCTTACCACCATTGAAAGTACAATTTAGGATTCTGTTAGATAAACTTCAGTACCTGTGAAGGCTTTGTTGAAAGAACGAATGTCCCTAATGCTAAGGCCACCTTGACCTTTAGACTTGCAAACAGAATCCAAACAGACCCATGCCCTATTATTTTTCTCTACTGTCCCTGCCCATGGAAACTTGCGTTGGATCAAAATGATCTCCTACAGTACCATTGAGGGTGCCTGGAACAATGACAGGAAATAGATTGGATGGCTCATGAGTATCAAATTGATTGGGGTAACCCTTTTGACGCTTTAAAATCTCTAGTAGCACTTCCATTTACCAAAATGGACAATTCAAAAAAAAAAACCCTTCATCCAAGCCAACCATTTCTCCCCAAACCCCATATCTATCATAATGCTCTTTAGATAATCCTAGACAACATAATTGTACGCCTGTTCAAAATCAATTTTAAATAGCAAGCAGCTTCCTCTATGCCTCTTCATCATATCCATTATTTTGTTCAACACCAAGATCCCATCGTGTATAATCATGCCTGGTATAAAAGTTGTTTGCGTCTTAGATATAAGCTTCCCTATTACCCTCTTCATATGCATCTCCAACAATTTCGATATGAGTTTATACACGTACCCGATAAGTGTAATATGCCTATACTCACCTAGCCCCTGCGGATTCTTGACCTTTGGAATAAGTGTGATGAAGGATGAAGTCATGGCTTTGGAGAAAATCGCCTTAGAGTGAAACTCTTGAATACTCTTAATCACATATTCGCCAATAGAATCCCAACACTTCTTTAGAAACTCTAAATTTAGCCCGTCTGGACTCGAGCTTCTGTTGCCATCAACCTCAAACCAAGCTTCACAAATTTCTTCAACTGAGAATTGTATTTCAAGGCTTTCAGAGTCCTCCAAGCTCAATCTGTTAAGGTTATGGTTCTTCAAAACTGGCCTAGCCATATTAATGTTAGTGAATCTACTCCCAAAGAACCTACAAACTGCATCTTTAACTTGATCCACCTCTTTTAACACTCTTGATTCCGACTTCACCCTGACAATAACATTGCACCTGTTCCTATAATTCATAACCGAATGGAAGTAATAAGCCATTAATGAAACCAATTTCTCAAAATAAAGACCACCCACAAAATTCTTTTAATATTAAAAAATGAAATATTTAAAGTAATATTTGAAAAAAGTTTTTTTTTCTTTAAATAAATTTTATAAAAATGATATTCAAAATATTTTTTCTTTTAAAATTTATATTTTATAAATTCAAAGATTAATTTTAATAATCTATAACATAAATATACATTATTAAAAATAGAAAAGGGATGATCCCATGATAGTATAATTTAATTTTACATTGTTAAACAATGACGACCATGTATTCTGCTACATCATACATATATTTTAAATTTCTTTTAATAATATAACGATTTTCCATTGAATGACAGTGTAAAATTAGTTTACACTGTCAATGCATATCCATTAACCCATATTGAATATCAAAATAACAATTTTTTCAAAAAATATATCTAAAAGATAATTTTAATGAAAAATTATTTAAAATAACTTTTTTTATAGGCAAAAAATAACCATTAGATAAGAGTACTAGGGTACTCCAACCTAAAAAAAATAACAATTAACAACTCCTACAAAAAATCACACAAGTAATTAAACCATTCGTAATAATTGCACCTAATTCTACCTTTACATGACAAACCTAACCAGCACCACGAACAAGATAAAATTCTTTGGAATATCACCTCTGAGTCTCCCACCTCATCATGAAATATTATTCGATTTCGGGAGAACCAAATACACCAACACGTAGAAAACCAAACCAAACATGCTAATGGAATTGAGCATCTACTTCTGAGCTGAACAAGCCAAGATAGTAAAAATTCACAACATTCCTCCTCAATGTCTCATGAAACTCCCAACCACCCTAAGACTTTGTTCCACACCATTCTAATTTTATGACACCCTCAAAAGATATGATTAATGTCTTCCATCACCCCAAAACAGAAAACACAAACAAGTTTGTGGAGATTATGAATTGTATCTCTAATTGCCAAGTTTTTTCTTGTTGAAAGCCTATCTAACAACACTCTTGTAGCGGGGAAATTTGTGAGTGTGAGCTATTAATTAAATTAACTCAAAATTTAAGAGTCGCCACCTCACTTTTATTTTATCCAAAAGGAAAGGAAAAAGAGTGAACAAAACATAAACAAGTTCTAAAATAAGAACAAACAAAGAATGGGTAAAGGGGTTGGTTACACTAAGGGAAGATGTTAGCACCCAAAATGTCTATAGTACTCTATAGGAATCCTTTGAAATGTCTACGCTTTTTATTTTGAAAAGGTTTGTTTGAAATGAGATTGGAGAGGTGAGAAGAGAAATATATTTTTTAAGATTTTTGTGTTCGGAGAGACTTATCGTCTCATGCCTACATACCCACAAAGTGCAATATATGATCAAAACTTCATAGTTCATGATACAAACAACAAAATAGGTTTGTTATGGTTGACTTTAAGTGAAAATACAAGTCATCATTTTCAAGCAAATAATTCCGCTTAAAGAGATGACTCGTGTCTAAACTTATGGAAAAGTTTTAAAAGAAAAAGTGCATAAGGCACAAAAGGTTTGAATATTTTTTATGTCTTTTTGAAAAGAGTCAAAGTATGATTAACATTGATTGAAATTTATTAAAGAAAAAGAAGTTTGAAAAAGCACTTGACAAAAGTCAAGGTTTTATGGTAAAAGAGGTTTAATTTTGAAAAAAATAAGAAGGTTTTTGAAAAAAAAGAGAAGATTTTGAAAATTAAAGAAGGGGTGGAGAAGAAGGGACTATCCTATAGCAAAAAGATAAAAGTTAAGGATAAGAACGGTCTAACCACACAAGCAAACTTCATAATATAAGCATTCTTCCTTTAGATTAGGCCTTGATCAAAATAAGTCTTCAAAAGAGAACTCCAAGCACCCAAAATCCAAGGTTTGACATCACAAGCTTCTAAGCATAGGTTAAGATCCTAATTCTAGGTCCAAAATTCCATGTCCAATACAAAGGATAGTAACCATAGTCCATCATTAAGAGAACAAGTTTCTTATGAGTTTAAGCCTTTATTAATGTTTTTGGTCCAAATGGACAAAAAGAAAAAAAGGCAAGAGCATAAACAAATGGTCCAAGTGGACAAAGGAAAAATAGCGGAAACATAAACAAATAATATGATATGATATGATAAGATAAAGCATAAAAAAAAGAGGGATAGGGAGCGAGAAATAAATCATAAACATAACACGATATAGAGCAATAATGATCCAAAACAAGAGAACAAGTTTTGTTGCTTTTCAAAAATGCTCG